GATTCATTCATTTCTTTAATTTTATTTTTTTACACATCTCATTAATTGTATTTTATTTATATACATTATATGTTTATTTGTATTTTTGGTCATCTTCAGAATAATTTAAATTTGCCCTAGGTAAAAGATAGATAAGTTTTTTTTTTTATTTAAACTTTTCAATACTTTTTTGTGCAAATCCCTAAAACCACACACAGGTTTTTGACAGAATAAGAAAATTAGAAAACCTTGTCACTTCACGGTTTATACCTTTTATATAGATGACAAATAAATCTCAGTTAACTAGATAAGCCAATAAACAAAACCCTATTTACTTCACTATTGTACATGCAAATGCTCTGTTTTGAACAGAAGAGTATTTTCAAGTCATATTTTAAAAAGTTCTTTATAATAAGTTATAACAAACCCATCTTAAAAATAGCCATGACCTTTGCCTTGTTAAACACAGTTTACTATAAATTCACACTTGTTTTCTCTGATTTGAAACATCTCTTTTAACTTTAAACATAATTTAAACAACATAAAAATGTACAAAATTTTAACATTACAAAGCATTTCAAATATTGAACAAGTTTTTTTATTAGGTCCAAAATATTCTGCTTAAATAACGTTTATATTGACCTTCTCTTCAGTCTGAAAATTCCATTTGTCGTTGGCTTTTGACATTTTGCTCATTTATTAACAGTTTAAACACCATATATTTTATATTTAGTTTCTTTTAACTCAGTTTTCACTGTGTCCTTTAGCTGATTCAAATCTTTATGTGAACAAAACACACCTGTACAACTTTAATACACAACAAACACCATTAATACACAAAATAAACAACTTTAGACCAAGTGTTGAACTGTGATTCTAAACGTTTGCCTCAACATGTCAGATTCTCATTGCACATACTTGAGTCTGTCATCAGGATAATTACTAACTTAAGTACGCTCCACTGTTTTGGATGTATTTTTTTCTTCTTGTTTTTTTATAATTGAGAGATGATGCACTGATGTTAAATGTCTTTTTGTGTTCCATAAACACTTCTGTGATGCAGGCCTTGTTTTTAGTTGCACTGTTTTAGGCCACTGGTTTTCTGTTTGTTCTGAAGTCATATTGGCACAGAGCCAGTTTTAGTTTGTGATGAAGCCCATGAAGCAAATTATTCTCTGAAATATTTTAAACTGAAGAAAAAGTTAGATTGGTTGTGAAAATTCATACCCACTTACCGGTTTTTAAAGACAGATAAGTCAAATGCTTTGCTGTAAGAGATCATCCATCCATCCATCCATCCATCCATCCATCCATCCATCCATCCATCCATCCATCCATCCATCCATCCATCCATCCATCCATCTTCGTACTTTTAGTTATCCTAGGTCCAGTCACAAAGGTATCAGGTCGGGGAGAATTCAAGACATTCCCTGGCCAAAGAGGATATCTAACTTTACCAGTGAGTTCAGGTTCTGCCTTGGGGTCTCCTCCCTGTGGGACATGCCTGAAACAACTCCAGATGGAGGCGCCCACGAGCCACCCTTATCTAAAACTCAAAGCACCTCAGCTGATTCCTTTCGACGTGTAGAAGCAGCAGCTCGGTGGAGCTCCTCCTCAGCCTGTTACTAAAGACCGAGCCTGGACACCTAATGTGTTATTGATATCATAACAATTAGTGGATAAATATTTTTCATTTTATTCCAAAATTCATATACTTAATCAATTGATCAGTTCAATGGAAAACAAGCAAACACATACTGTAAATATAGCATATTAAAAATAACCATGGCCTAAAAATAATCATTACTGGCTAGTTTGTTCACTGTATTAGTTTCTGCTTTACTTTTCTGCTAATAAGAGTGCAATTAGTGATATTACAGTGTATTGATTTGTTTGGAGAACAATAAAAAATTTATTGATATTACAAAATCCTGTTAAGGTTTTGATTCAAATTGATTCACAAACCTGCAATCGATATGATTCAATATCGTATGTCCATCTAACACAATCATGAGCTTATGACATGGATCCACATCGGACATGTGATGAAGATATGGATTGATTGTTTGGTGTTGATGTAACTGAATAATTATTCATATATAATACTGTATAATATGTAATTAATCATATATCATTGTGGATCAGTGTATTGTTACACCCATACTGCTTAAGCAGTGTTGATCAAAGTCAATTTGATTGTAACTGTTTTTATTTTAGCTAAATTCTATATTCTCACAAAAGCTGCAGTTTCAATGTTATCACTGTATTCTGTGTTTAATCTGAGTGTTGATTGCTTGATGTGTGTGTGTGTGTGTGTGTGTGTGTGTGTGTGTGTGTGTGTGTGTGTGTGTGTGTGTTGTTGTTGTTGTTGTTGTTGTTGTTGTTGTTGTTGTTGTTGATTGTAGCGACAGGTAAACCCCTCACCTGTGTCAGATCTGGAGGTTCTCTGGAGATGAATGTAAGCTGTGGTTTTCTTTCTTTCTTTCTTTCTTTCTTTCTTTCTTTCTTTCTTTCTTTCTTTCTTTCTTTCTTTCTTTCTTTCTTTCTTTCTTTCCTTCC